TTTGTAGGGTTGGTAGGGTGGGGGTTTCAATCTGCAAACGCGTTATTATGTCCCATTTATAGCAATGCCTCTGGTTGCATCTGAGGCCAAGACGGTGCTGAGCAATCAGATTTTCCAGAGCAAGAGGTTGCTCTTGAGGTTGGCCCCCCAGTTCTGGGATTCACTGGGCGCAGGACTCCCAGGTTTGGGTACTTACTACTAGTAATATAGTAACAAGAAGCTACTAGGGGCTCCTGGCCTTACTACTAGGAGCAAGGACGCTACTAGCGGCTCCTGGCATCGCTACTAGGAGCATTCTTACTGCTAGGAACAAGATTGCTTGGTCTCGGGGGCCACCCTCGGTAAGTAGGTCTCGGATAAGAGGACTGAGGTTTTGCGCTGGGCTTGCTGGATCTTGCTCTGCTGTGCTGCAAATTGGTGTAGAGACCGACTCTGTGAATGTTGAAAGCAGGCCAGTGCTTGCGTGTTTGCAGCTATGCATTTCTTTTAAAAAGGGACCACAACATGAGGGATAGCCAGAGCACTGAAGCTTTGGTCTTGTGTAGTGTTGTCCTGTTGTGGTGTCGTACAGTTGTAGCTGACATCGAAGTTGACAGTCTTCGGCGATGTGTCACATGGACCCAAGTCCATCGGTTGGCGCCGTGGACGGCTTGTCAGACCTCGATGTAGGTCCTTTTTGTAATCCTGGGACTTCCTGCCAGGTTCAGTCACAGTCAATGTATTTCTGTTGGAACTGTTGGTCACTGTTGGTTGAACAGAATCTTCCACCAGAGATACCAGAGATACGCAATTGTAACTGCGACATGAGACTGGCAGATTCTCTTCTAGGGTTTGGGCGGCCCAGGGCCAGGCGGCACACGAATGTGTGCTACGCAACTGACCTCCACGGCACACTTTTGAAAGGCGCATTCAGAAAAGGCCCGTTGAGGGGGGAACGGAGAAGGCCGAAGAGATAAAACAAGGATGACTGTGATGGTGATAGTAATAGTACCGAACAGTTGCTTTTATTCATGAGGCGCAGCTGGTCCTGAGGTGTTCAGATGATTTTTGCGGCCGAGGCTGACCAAAAAGAACATCGCAAAACGGTTCACTTGTTTAGGATCATCTGATCATCCAATAAAAAGTCTCGGAGCTCTTAGAAAGTGTTGTGCTAGGAGCCCCAATGTAGCACCCAAACCCTCATAGGACGGGTGTTGACACCCTGCATCAAAGATCTCTGAATCAAAAGACTTCGAATAAATCACATCATCATCATCATCATCATCTTCATCATCATCTTCATCATCATCATCATCTTCATCATCATCTTAATCATCTTCATCATCATCATCATCATCATCTTCATCATCATCATCATCATCTTCATCATCATCTTCATCATCTTCATCATCATCATCATCATCTTCATCATCTTCATCATCATCTTCATCATCTTCATCATCTTCATCATCATCATCATCATCATCTTCATCATCTTCATCATCATCTTCATCATCATCTTCATCATCAACATCATTAACACTATTACTAGGGTTCTGCTTTGATGATCTTCGGTTTCATTATGCTAGGAGCAAGAAGCTACTAGGAACAAAGGGCATCGCTACTAGAAGCAAAGGCCGCTACTGTAGCTCCTGGCCGTACTTCTAGGAACAAGAAGCTACTAGGGGATCCTGGCCTTACTACTAGGAGCATCCTTACTACTAGGAACAAGAAGCGACTACGGTGGCCTCCGAGGCGCTGGTGCGGTGGAAGTCGGACCTGGCGGACACCGAGGCGGCCCGCGAGGAGGTGCGTCCTCGGCAGAAGTGAGGTTTGGCTTAAAAGAGATGGTGAGATGATGGTGAGATGGTGAGGGTGTGGGCAAAACACCATGGACTAGTATGGACTCTGCAATTGCGAGATGGAAGTGCCAGGCAGTGCAATCCTTTCAGACAATGAGAGAGGCTGTTCTTTTCCGCGATATTTTTTACATGTCCAAAAAGTGGCATCAGACTTTTTCTGATGAGTTGGTAAGCCCTACCATCGTCCTTCTTCCCAGCCTCATGCCAGGATCAGAAGGTCTTGCTGAGTCTCCATTCCAGCACCTCAGCTTCAGGGCAGATGAATCATCGCATGACTTGGAGATCAGCTCGGGCAAGCACAGCACTGGGCACTGGGAGATTCTGTTTGACATTCAATAGAACGGAGAGAGGGTCTGCTGGATTTTCATGGGTTTTCATTGGATTGGACCTCACCCCAAAGAAAGGCCAATCTCAATCTCCCTTGAGGATTTCTTCTCATGATTCCTGGCCCAGGCTGCGACAAGAAGGCCTCTGCTTGGGAAGCGAGGGCTCGGAAGCCCGGGGTGAACCTGGTTTGGTTGAGCCTTCCCTCATGAGGTTTGCCTGAAATTGCCCACAGGCCAGTCAAGAGCGATACATTGATATATTTAGTCTGCCTTTGGCTGAATGGGGAATAGGTCGGCATAAGTAATAAGCTTAACCAGAAGCTAGGAGTTCCTGGCATCGCTACTAGGAGCATCCTTACTAGTAACAAGAAGCTAAGTCGTTTGTTGGAACAACCCTCTTTAGGTCTGGTTACTAGTATTACTGTAGACATCTTTGAGGCGACTCTTTGGGCTTTTCAATCTTCCGAGGTGAAGACACGGGCTGAGGAGCTGCTGGCCATCGACGAGACAGTAAAGGTCTTGGATAGCGCCGCTCGGTGAACCACTTGGTGGGGTGAGAGATGGTTAGACTCTTGTTTGGAGTTGTGAATGTCAATTTCACTCTGACCAACAACTGGGGATACAACATGGTACGTGCTTGCATGTGGGGATTGGGCTGTCAAGACTTCAGGAATCGAGAAAGCATGGTAGCCTCAAATGAATCACGAAGCCACTTCGCACGGCACAACACGGCTAACGTGTGCTTTCGAACCGGAGCGGAAAAAAGGGAGCCTCATGGGCCGATGCATCACCTGAAACTGGACCAGAAGTGATTTGGCTTCAAGTTAAATTAAGACGCTGTCCCAAACTCGTTCAGCCGAGGATGATGCCCGGAACAGCTTGAGGAAGGCCCTGCCTGAGACCTCGTTCCTGCAGGCCGGCGAGCCTTTGGGCGTGTTGGGGGCTTGGAAGGGGCGAAGGAGAAGCTCGAGTAGCAAACCAGGCTCTCGGAGTCAGTGGATCCACTTCTTTGAGCCAAGTGAATAGGGGAGCATCGGCAGAGTGCGCTTCTGCTCCAATGGACATCGGTGAGGTCAGCCAGCTGTGCAAGCCATGGCGCCTCCGCTCGGCGGTGTCTGGTGAAGTCCTGGCGGCCTTGGATGTGGACCAGGTCCAAGGAGAAACGGTGAGAGCTCTGAAGGCTCGCTTGGGAAAGGAGCTTGGCGCGCCGCGATTCCGACAGAAATGGTTCAGTGAACATGGGCAAAGTGAGTTGCAGGACGAGGTTAAGATGGAAAGGTCTCCTGCGGATGTGCAGCTAGTAGTCCTAGATCTTTGCCCAGCTGAAGAAATGGATGTCCAAGAGCTGATTTCTGCATGTGCGGAAAATCGTTGGGAAGACCTGGAAGCGCTTTTGCAGCGGCCTTTGGATCCAGATGCGGCCGATGAGAGTGGCAGGACAGCGCTGCACACGGCAGCTTGGGCTGGGCATTTGCAATGCATCCGTTTACTTTTTGAAGCTGGCGCAGCACAGGACAGAGGAGATTCTTACGGCTTGACTGCCTTACATTGGGCAGCTCAGAGTGTTGACCCTGAAGTTGTCAGGATGTTGCTCGAGGCTGGGGCTGACAAAGATATGGTTGCAAACGATGGTGCAACTGCTTTGCACTGGGCAGCCGGAAGTGGCCACCTGGAAGTAGTGCGACTGCTGCTCCAAGTGGGAGCCGCCAAAGACAAGGTCGCAAGTGATGGAGGAACAGCTCTTCATTTGGCTGCTTGGAACGGCTACTTGGAAGTTGCCCAACTGCTAGTTGGGTCCGGAGCTGATACAGACAACCTCACCATATATGATGCATCAGCTTTACATTTGGCAGCTTGGAATGGCTTCTTGGAAGTTGTCAGGCTGTTGCTGCAGGCAGGAGCTGACGTAGAGAAGGCCGGACTGGATGGGGCGACAGCTTTGCATTTTGCTGCCCAAGAAGGGCACGTGGACGTTGTCCACTTGCTGCTTGAGGCTGGAGCTGTCAAAGAGAAGGCCACAACACTCAGGTCAACAGCTCTACATTTTGCAGCACAGGAGGGTCACGCTGAAGTTGTACGACTGTTGCTGAAGGCAGGCTCTCACAAAGATAGGGTCACAAGCAATGGGGAAACGGCTTTCGATTTGGCTGTGCAGAACGGCCACCTAGAGGTGCAGAACGTTTTACTCACAGGTGGAACTGACAAAGAGCAGTTCCAGGCTTAGACCGAGATTTAGTCGTTGTGGGGTGGTGTCACTTGGCCGGTGCCAGAAAGGAGCTACCCATGTTTTTGCTTATATAGGTGTTTGCTACCTGAGCTGAGCAGAGCATGACCATGCCTTTCATGGCTGAGCTTTGTCTAATTGATCACTTCCTTTTGTTCAAGTGAAGACTCGCACATTTGGCCAGACATGTTCCATCTACTCTATCAGCTCTATCAATGTTTGTCAAGCGGTCGGTGTCGGGGGTGTCGGGCTTTGGGACTTCAGCCGAGAGAGATGGGTCAAAAACTTCCCAGACTGGATGGATCAACACTTCTTCACGTCAGTGGAGGGAAACGAAAGGTTACCAAGCATTGCCAACATCTGGGGGGTCAAAACCTGGAGCCCCTGGTTCACCACCTTCAAGGTAGGTCAGCCAAGGCACCCTGGTGCCATGACCCACAGCCATGTCTCCACAGCCATGTCTCCTGAATGACCCTTCTTACAGGTCCACGATTTTCTTGGAGCATTTTCCACTTTTCCCGCCAAACACCAACTTAGCCTGGTCAACATCGTTGGATGGTTTTTCAACCCCCCACTTTTCCGGCCAACATGACACATGGACCGTTTTCGGCGACCTGTTTCGGCCGTGACCAGACTTGTTTTCGGGGTGGACCGGTTTACACCCCTAAAAACCGGGGATTTCTCCCAAAACGGGGAATTGGGCCCCGTTGGACCGGGAACGGGGCGTTGTCCAGCTGTCCCTGTGCAGGTGGACTCCGAGGACCGGAAGGCGAAGCAGTTCGGGCTCTTCGGTGGGGTTGTCCGGAGGAAGGTTCTGGGGTCACGACCCTTTGAAGCCTCGAAGTTCCACCCGGAGGTTCTTTGTGCGTGTTCTTTGTTTCCTTTTGTTTGTTTGTCCGCTCGCTTCCAACGCCTTCTTGGTTGGGTGGTCAAAGGTGAGAGTGGCCACTCGAATTGAGTCCGTACAGATTGGTGGCCAGATGTTTGAAGTCTCCACTAAGGTGTGAGGAACTGAGCCTTTAAGCAAAGCTTGGCAGGAGGCATTTTGAGGATCTCCGCTCTAAAGGAAGACAAAGTCTTCAAGGCTGTAGTTCCACAATTGACCAACCTCAAGTTTGTAGTGAGCACGTTTTGGTACGGGAGAAGCTTCTTTGTTGTTTCACGCCACATGTCCCTTGCCCTTGGACTGCCCTTGGATGGGTTGTGAGGCCTTGCAAAGCGCATGTGGCTTCGGAATCTGTTAGATTTGTCCCCGAAACTGTTTGTGGACGCACCCCAAAACGGCAGACTCTTTACCCACTCTTAGGTAGAGGTCCCTGCAAACAATGAATGACCGCAAACTCTTGCTCCTAACCGGTCCGAATAAAAGAATGGCCACCAACTGCATTAGTCAGGGTGTGGTCATCGTCCGTGTTGCCAGGCACGAGCCTTGCAGGGTCTGCTGCGCCAGGCGTGACTGCTCGGGCGGCATGATGTTGACAAGAACACGCTGCAATGGTTCCACCGGGTTCCACCTTGGGTTCCAACCCTTTTTGGCTGCTCACTCTGTCCAACCCTGCTGACGAAACGTCCCTTAAACGCGCTCTGACATCGACGGCGGGGTGAGCCACACTAGGTGTGCCAACCGATCATTGAGCACAGTGTTGGGTCATGTTGTTCAGAATCAGAGCAGCATGGATAGTGCTTAATCTTGAGTAGCATCAAAGCGATTGTTTGCGACTGGTGGGACGGATTAGGCGACGCAGATGAGAAGCGGAACCACACTAAAGACATATGACATATGAACCAATCCCGAGACGAACAAGAAACACAACAATCTATACTATCTATCTGACGAAATTGTCTTCCCTGATCCATGATCTTCAGTCCAATCACTCCAGCCATCCCCCCCAACCACGAACGGCGCCGATGTCCGCCACGGTTCGAGGCGCCTGGTTCTGGTGCCGACTTGCTCTTGCTGGCCCTCAAAGGGCAAAAGATTGGGTTTGACAAGGTCAGCAGCGTTTTTTTGGCGGAAAAGAGTTGCACCTCAAATACTCAACAATAGGGCCGATGTCTTCCGGCATGGGTGGATGCGATGAAAAAATCGCTGTGAACTGGCCCTTGAAACCCACCACATTCACGTCCTGGTTGCTCCTGCGGTGGTGTCAATGGAGGTTTCTATTGTTTGAGAAACAATCCCCAAGCAGACATGAGCCAGGCAGTTTCATGCAGTTTCCAACTTTTTGATAAACATCCGTGGGTGTTTCCACATACCCAGCTAGCTTGCTTTTCCATCAGCCTGAAACCCTCGTTGACAGGTCAGAAACTCCTGATAGTGCAGTTGCAAGAAGACACCCACAAACATTGAAGTTCTCAACGATGTTGGCAAGATATGCACGTTGCCTCTGGTCGTATGTTGTTTTTTATTTATGTTCCAAAAAACAGATCGAACAGAGGCCTTTCGGACGTACAACGACTGCTGACACGTGTCTTCGGATCAGACCGTTCTTTTTTCCCCCACCGGTACAGGTGGTTCAGATGATTGACTCCATGAAGGTCACCATGAAGAAAGAGCAGGACTCAGCCCTGACTGATGGTGAGTGAGAGCAAAGAAGGCAGATCATTCGGCTCTGAACGATGGCTCTCAAAAGGACGAAAGCAAATTTCACTCTGAAACCATTTTTCATGAACCTATGCCCAAAACATGCTCGAGGAGAAACAGTTGCTTTCACCAAGGGTAGGGATGCAAGGGTAGGGCTGAACAGACAGGAGGGTGACGTGGCGCATGGCGCATGAATACTAGCTGTGCTTCAGCCGTTGTTATTTTGATGAATACATTGGTGTAACAAATTGTGTTTTCTAGATGTTTTTGGACGGTTTCCTTTCGCGGGTGTCGATGTGGATGATGTATGATGATGTCGATGTCGACTCAGGTTTGGTTCAGTTGGTGAAAAGGAGGGCACCGTTTTCTCAACGGGTTATGGTAGTTAAGATATGGTAAGCTGTTTCACCTGTGCATACTGTTCACTTGCAGCGCCCTCTAGAGATGAACTTCTGAGAGCTCGCGCTTCCGGATCGGTCGGAACGGCGCGTCTCACGCGCTGATCCTGTTTTAAATCTCGGATCCATCAGGAGAACGAGAAAAAGAAGAAGGAGTACTGCAAGCAGCAGTTCACAGGTTCACTGGACCAGCTTGGAGTTTGGTCGTTTGGAAGGCGAAGGTGCAGTAATTCTTGGGGACTTGCACACCGATGACAAACGGGATGTTTCTAGAGAACAGATGATGACGACATTGAATCACATTGACATATTGCCTCTTTTCATGCCACTTGCTCCGATGACAAACCAGCTGTGCTGGGCTCGGTTCACACGAGGTTCATCGGGGCATGGGGGCACTGACACGACCAATATTGTGGTTGCAAATTGAACATCGTTACCATTTCTCCTATGTTTTCGCATCAGCACCTGGCCATGTTTGGATGACGCCACTTTCGCGATGTTCGATTCCAAGCACTTGCCCAGCCACACAGAGTACACGGAACAGACATCAACACTTTGGAAAAGGCATTTTGTCGCGTGTAAGAAATCGGGCACTGAATGACTTGTGGAGTGCCCTTGGTGGAAATGGGTTCCCACTCTCATGATCTCTCATGGTATGTGAGCGCAAAGCGACTCGTTCTTGAAGGTTCGGATGACAAGAAGAGGGGCCTGCTGCTCCAAGCTGCTTGGGCCAACAACTTCAGCTCCAAATCCTCTGTTCAGATGTCACAGCACGAGAATTTCATGATTTCATGATGTTGGGTGGCTTTAGTAGCTTTCCTCACGTGTTTTTCAGGCACTGTTTTCGGTCTCCGAGGTCTCGAACAAGGAGACCAAGATGGAGAGCGCCAAAGATGTGCTCAAGGTCATGGAGTCCGAGATCCAGGACACGACACAGCCCAGTGTGACCATGGGAGATATACAATAATATACAATGATATACTATATATACATATATATATATACTCTATTTCTTCTTGTGATATATTCTATATGCAGATTTGGAACGGGATCAGTTGCTGGAGGGTTCTGATCGGTGTTCTTTTCTTTGGGGATGGTGTGGTGTTGTGGTATGTTGTGGTTGATGTTGCTGAGGTCGTGGAGAAAAGTTAAACACCATTCAGACCATAGTGCCAGTAGGAACCTCTCTTGTCTATTTCCATGTCCTTCATATGAATGCCAAGAGTTTTAACCAAGCTGACTCAGCTGACAGTCTGTCAGCGTCAGAACATTTCATGATCAACCGCCGGATTGGCTCATCGACTTGGACATGGAGTTGGTGTTTTGACACCAACAGATCACAGGGGCGAGAGATGGGGCTCCAACATCTCCCCGATGCACAGGAGCTCAACGAGGGCCTCCAACGCTTAGACAAGGCCCGGAAATCTGGACATGGCATGCTGAACGCTTCTGGCGCAAGGGGTTTTTGGAGGCTCCAACGCCACAAGCAGATTGCAGTCCAAAAGCCTGAAGAAAAAGGAGTTCTGAGGACCTCGGACGATGTACAGAGTAACTTGCTCATTGTCTTGACGATTCTTTGATCCTAGCATCTTCTGCCCATCCCTTTGGCCGACCGGGACCACCCTCTGACCGATCGCGGGGCCAAGGATGTGGCGGACGCCACGGAGCAACGGAAGAAGGAGCACCAAGAGCTGGGATCCTAAGGAACTTCCCAAGGAATTACCGCCAACGTCCTTCCTTTGTCAACAGGATTATATTATATGAAAAATTACTGGGGCAGAGTCTTGCAGCAGGTCTAATCCTTGGGGTCCCTAGACCCTATGGGGTCCATAGCCTATGGGGTCCATAGCCTATGGGGTGCCTCCGAGGAGTTCTTGGTCAACGGAACAAACAGCCGGGAACACCCACGTTGTGACCCCGAAGTTCCTGGCGAACCCGGAACCTGGACTGCACCACAAGGAAGAAGGATTGGCAGAATTATGACTTGCTTAACTTGTTTTGGTCTTGCCTGGTGGCCGGCCCAGGTCTAGCCATGATTCCAGGATCAAATCCCTTTGAATCAAGAACAGACTCCTTGTGGTCCTGGTGTCGAGAAGCTTCCAACTCCTTCTCCAGCGTGGAACCGCGACCGCGACCGAGCTCCTTTTTTTCCCCTCTGACGCCCGGCGATGAGGTTCCTGGAGATGGAGAAGACCAGCGGCGAGGCGGCACAGCTCCTGCAAGTGGCCAAGAAGCGGCTAAAACAGTTCCTGGACGAATGAGGGTTCGGGTTTTTAGAGAGGGTTCGTGTGGATGGAAAGATATTGGAAAGGATGTTTAGGTACCCAGAAAAGTTTGGATACAGTTCACATTGCTGTGAAATAGATAGATGATTGATAAGGTTTTCTCTAACTTTAAGCCATATTGTTTTCTTTCAGAGAAGGTGACTATATAGACAACAACTGTGACAGGTTGGTTTGCTTTTGGGTTTCTTGTTCTTCTTCGTTTGATTGCATATTGCTGTGACAACAGCTTGCTGGAGGTCTCGCATGGTCGCAAGCGCTGGTCGAACTGTGTTCACCATCTTTTCTGATCGCCCTACTTTGAACCATCCCGCCCCAGTGGCGGCGAGGGTGGCTCTTAAGGGGCTGGTGTTTTCTCCAAGACTGGATGCACCTGATTTGTTCAAGAGGAGATGCTACTCTACTCTATACTCCCCAAGAAAGCGACGGAAGGGCGACGTTCTTGCAGGTGATCCTACTTGGCAGGTGGTTGGGAAGCTTGTCACAAAGCCTTCAATACATCACAAGATCCTATCACTTCTCTACTTGGATTGGCATTGGCATCTGGGCAGACAGCGGGTGTTTTAGAACCTCCACCAGACGTTTCCTGGATTGTTTGATTGATTCCAACAGAGGTTTTATGCGAAGCCGCCTTCATTGGTCGAGGCGGGATTGACACTTCAACCAAGCAGAGTGTGGCTGTATAATTTAGACTGTGGACGCATAGCACCTCCATCATAAACAGGTTTTGCAATCCACATAGGAGGGGTGATGAATTTTTTAAGAGTCTACATTAGGACCTCGTGACCTCTGTTTTGGTTCCAACAGTCCGCAGTCCTTGGGACAGCGCAGTGTCCTTTTCATTCAGTCTGGCCATGCCGCGGTCCTGCGGCGCAGGTGTCGGAGCTGGTGTCGGTGCCCGGGCAGGCACCGGTTCGACACTGTTTGGTCGCAAACCGTGGCGACGTAGGATTCAGTCTTCAAGCGGTTTTCACGGTGAATCCAAAGCTCCGCAGCTGAGAGAAATAGTCTTTGATTCTTGTATCCCTTATCCCAAGTCAGTAGTTTGCGTCATGCACCTCATTTCGTTCAAAAATGGAGATTCAATCAGTCAAAAGATGTCAATATTCTTTTTATTGGAGCAAGTCCAAACTCCAACAGGCAGCAGTTCTGCATTTCATCCCTCCAACCTCCACGGCCCTTTGGGCTCGAATCAGCCAGTGGCTACCGCGAAACGGGTCGCTCTTTGGAGATACCGTTTTTTGGGGCCGAGCAGCATTGTCATGCACTGAAGCGGTGAAGATTTATATAGAGGAATTGCAGATGATGTAAGAACATTTCAACTATCCAAATGAGCATCTCCTCTGTCCAGAGTATGTTTGAAGCACTTGATCCTCTTTTCTTTTCTTTGTCCACCACCAGAGAGCTCCGCATCAGAGCTGAACTCTGCTTTTTGGAGCCATGGCACAGGAACACCAGGAGTACATCCAGCAGAAGGTGCCAGGGATGATCGAATCCGCCCAAAACCCATGAAAGCCATCCATCCATCCCCTCAGCCAAGGTGAACCCAATCCTCGAGAATTTGGTGACCCAACTGCTGTTGGAGCGACCGGCCACTCGGAGAAACTACATAGGCAGCGACCACATAGGCACGACATCCCCCATGAGTGATGATGGAGTAGATCATGTGGCTGCTTTTAAGAACATCGATTCCCTTCCCAGCCTTCTCATGGGCTCTTGCAACCATTTGTTTTGAAGCCTTCTTTGCACCTCAGAGCCCGTGCTTGGAAGTGCTTTACTATCCCAAGCCCACCCTTGGGTCACGTCACCTTGATCAGGAATTTTGTCCATCGGCCAAAACCTCGACATCGCCAACGTGGTTTTTCCTCTCTTTTGAGTTTTGAAGCTGGCAATGACAGCCAAACTGGGCCTAAATGATTGCAGAGTCCTCCACCGTCCTCTTGCGCTGTGAAGGGCGCTGGTCCTTGAATGGTGGACTTCGTCTCATTCTCTCATTTGTTCTCTCAATAGGTCTGGGGACGTCAGGTCAACCCAACCAAACAAGCTGATGGCGCATCCGGTTCGCTGAATTCGTTCCTCGGATCGACCCAGACTCTCCACTTTGCACCTCTTAGGGATCCCTTGGGACCCCTTGTCGCCTTGGCAAGGTGCGATGACCAGCTGAGCATGGAAAGCCCCTATTCTGTTTGGCACCCACCTAACAGCTCGCGTCGAGGAACAGCTGGCGCCCTTCATGATCAAATGGCTCTCCCAGAACTCAAAGACCCCGGCAGCAGCGGCCTTGACAGAGGGCGTCAACGTGTTGAGCGAGCTGAAGGCGACGAGCTTTTTTGGTAGATGTCCGGGTTTGCGGAAGAACGGATGGGAGGTTGTTGTTGTTGTTGTTGTTGCGTTTTATATTCTTTTCTGTTCTGGTCCGGTCTGGTCCCCTTTTCTGGTGCTTTCTCTTTCTCTTTACCCCTTCGTTCTTGCTAAGCTGCTAAGCAAGACGTGTGAAGTGCTTGGATGGGGTGCATTTGCTTGAAGATTTGGCAAGAACCGAGCATCGGACTTTACAGGGTGAGCAGTAGGTCGCCATGAGAAGTCGGATTGGTCGTGGTTTTCTGCAGGTGGAAATGGACAAATTACAAGAAGAGGTGAAGGACTTAGAGAAGCAGGCGCTGGATGGAATCTCTTCAAGTCTCTTCTCGGGCTGTATCGAGGAGGGGATCGGAACGCTTGATTGCCAGTCAGCAAAGCCATAAATGTTCGTTCCCTGTTGAGCTGAGGGATTCACTAACCAGGGTAGGCAAGTGTGCCCCAAGATGCCCTTGGTCCAGCTGGTTCCCTCCTCGGCGATTACTGTAGAAGGATGTAGAAGGTGTGATCAGTTTGATGACAACAAGTTGCAGGCATGTCCTTGACCGCGACTGCGGAGTCTGCATAGCCATCCAAAGCTATCATCGTCTTGGATTTCAGTTCTCATTTGCCAAGTCCAAAGCTGAGTTCGCACCGAGTTCGCTTGCCCCCCCCCCCTCGCGCGATGGATCTTGTGGATCTTGTGTACAGACGGTGTACAGTGGTCTTGGGCAGGTACAGGCCAAGCGTGGAGGGGTCTTCAAGAGCCTTGACAAAAGAATGGTGGTAGATGCTGGGTTCCAATAACATGATTAAGCTGGTCAAGCGGCCGCCATTCACCTTGCGGCTTTAATTTAAGTGTCCATCATTGTCCATCCATATAAACTTCTGTTGAACTTCACTGCAGATGAAGGGTATTCCTACACTGGAAGGACATCTCTTGAGAACATCCTCAAATCCTTGACTCATCATAACATAGAAACTGACAAAGCTTCTTGATAAAGGAGTTGATTACAGGATACAGTATGTCTTTCTTGAGTCTTGACTATCGATGAAGTGTTCTTCGGGAACAGGGTGACAGGTAAGTGTCCTTTTTCAACGCTCCCGAAACACCCAAGTTTCCCCGCAAGGAATTTGGACGCTGAGACTGAAGAGGAAGAAGATGAGGAGGTGGATGATGTCATTCCTCCACCATCGTACTTGAAGAAAGGCATGATTCTCGGGTGCTTGGACGACCAGGGCATGAAGCATGGGTCTTATCGCCAGTTTGTATCAGTTTGTGAATATTTGTGTTCAACCAATAGGGGCAATTCCAACAAATCTGCGGTTTTAAATCTTAGCTGTCAAGAGGCATTTCTGCACATCCCAATCGAGGGTACAACCCACTTGGAACTCATGGGTCCTTGTTTTGGCCTTGCCTTTTCTTCACCTTTCCACCGACTCCTGGGTGCCTGGGTGTCCTGAGACTCCGGCGCACGACCTCGCCAGGGCCACGGAGCTCGGTGTCCGCCGAAGCCTACGGCGAGTTGAAGGCCAAGGTCTTTGTGCCGCCGGTCTATCCGAAATCCGAGGCGCCGAGTCCCGGACCTTCGCGGGGCCCGAGGAGGGAGGCTTCTGAGGACGTTTTTCGGACCGGGAAATGGGAGAAGAAGAAGGATTCTTCCTAGCCCAACGTAGGGGCTTAGTGTTTAGGGACGGTTTTTTTTTGCGACAGTTTTAGGTTTTTTTAAACACAGTTGCACAGTTAAGGGGGTTTTCTGCGACGGTGCTACCTGCAAGGGGGGTTTTCTGCGACGGTGCTGCTGGAAAGCAGGGTTTTCTGCCACAGTTCTGAAATTACTGTCGCAAAAACCCCCCTGGGCTTGGAGTGAGTAGTGGTCAGTCAGAATAGTAGAAGCAGCAGCAGCGAACTCGAACTCGCGCTTGTGCGCTTGTTTGTTTGTTTGTTTGTTTTTTTGTTTGTTTGTGTTTTGTTTTGTTTTGTTTTGTTTTTGTACACATACCTTTGTGTAAGAGTTTGTCGCACAAATGAGAAACGTTGAACATTCCAGAAATGTTTAACAAATGGAAGTGTTTTACCAAAATGTTCAACAAATGGTAGTGGAGCCAACAAAGCATCCAGAATTAGCTTGTGATTAGCATCAGAACACAATGGATTTCTGATGGGAGGGTGGGTAGAAGATCCAGAATTAACTTTGTGTTGGGTTGGGTTGGGTTGTGGTGTGGTGTGTTTTGTTGTGTTGTGTTGTGTTGTGTTTTGTTGTGTTGTGTTGTGTTGTTGTGTTTTGTTTTGTTTTGTGTAGTAGTAGTAGTAGTAGTAGTAGTAGTAGTAGTAGTAGTAGTAGTGGTAGTAGTAGTGGTAGCAGTAGTATAGTAGCAGTAGTATAGTAGCAGTAGTAGTAGTCGTCGTAGTCGTCGTAGTCGTAGCAAATGGATGTGTTTTACCAAAACGTTTAACACATGGTAGTGGAGCCAACAAAGCATCCAGAATTAGCTTGTGATTAGCATGAGAACACAATGGATTTCTGATGGGAGGGTGGGTAGAAGATCCAGAATTATCCTGTGATTCTGACCGCATTGCCTAGCAGCAGAAAACGCACGAGCCGTCCCACCAAATCGGACGCGCCCCCGCGCAAAAGACGCTGCGGTGTCTGACACAAGATATACTGACGCTCAAAAAGAAGTCTATGCTTTTTCTTTTGTCCTCTCGCCGATTCTGGTATCTTCTTGTATGAGCGCTGACAGCGCACCAATCTCGTAGCTCGTGCTTTCGTTCCATTGGAGTGGCTGCCAGGTCTTTCTTCTAACGTGGCGTGGCCGCCATTGTTTCCAAGTGTTCTGCTCACTCTGTTCTGCTATGTCGCTCGCTGTTTGCGCTCGCCAGGTTACCTGCTCATCGCCAGGGTGGGGTGCGACGCCTGCGTACGCACAGTTTTTCTTCTCTGCCCAGCGTCCGCCTTGCCGTGGCAGAGAAGCTCAGTACCGCGGCATGCGGGAAGCCAAGAGGCGCTGAGGGATAACGCTTGTCAACTGGCAACTGTCTTCCACATTGCCGACGTCTTGCGCCACGATATGCAGTCTGGTGGTACAAGTGAAATCCAAGGAGTAGTATACTCGTTCTAGCAGTTAGTAGTCTTAATATACTATTCGTCGTACTGGTTGTCGTAGTCGTAGTAGCAGTATAGTAGTATAGTAGTCGTCGTAGTCCTAGTAGTAGTAATAGTAGTAGTAGTAGTAGTAGTCGTAGTAGTAGTAGTAGTAGTAGTAGTAGTAGTAGTAGTAGCTAGTAGTAGAAGTAGTAGTAGTAGTAGTGGTGGTAGTAGTAGTAGTACCAGTACTAGTACTAGTACTAGTAGTAGTAGCAGTAGTAGTAGTAGTAGTGGTAGAAGTGGTAGTAGTAGTAGTCGCCGTCGTCGTCGTACTACTACTACTACTACTATAGTACCGTCGCCTCGAGCGCCTTACTGTCACAAAAAACCCCGCTTACCGTTGCAGAAAACCCCGTCCATGCGCTACCGTCGCAAAAAGCCCCGATTACTGTCGCAGAAAACCCCCACAAACGCTTGCCA